GTACACATCTAAAAGCAATTTTTTTTACTTGTAACAAAGTGCAATGTAAAGAGGGGTTTTAGTATAAATAAACACACTTGTCTCCCCGGATATAGGGTGGAAATGATCTTTCATCTCATAATGCCATCCGCCAAGTTCATCCGTCTGTAATATCGAATGTAGGGCTTGGTTTAGCCCGATCTAGAAGTGTTGAGGAAGTTTCTTGAGGTTCCTCCTTATCGGAACCAATCAAGAACTGCCAAACAAGCTTCTTGGGCAACCTTAAAAGAACCAGAATTCTAGAGCAACAACACTCACTACCTTGTAATGTTTCAGCTAAGTAGGCCTAAGTTCGTTGTTAACAGAGTTAACCCTACTATAAAATTTAAAACAGTTGGCTTTTTAATCTTAATAGTTAAAATATGTCAAGAAGTCAAACAATTTTATAAATAACTTTTAAGTACGATAATGGGTTTGAAAATGAATAACTATACTTACTAACTACTCTTCCACAAAACGTCCCATGAGAGAGAGTTCAAAGTTTGCAAGGGCCAAGTTAGACCGCGGGTGTCCTGAGTTTGGTTGGCGCTAATAGGTGAGTTGGATCTTGTGTATAACACAATGTAGACTGTAAATTGAACCTCTCTCCAGTCACCGATCGTCAATATATATAAACATTATAGAACATTTAAAATAGATAATGTAAAATAAATTTAATTGTTTCCTATATAACTTAATAACATTAGAAAGCCAAGGCATAAGCAGACCATTTTTTCAAGGGAGTTAGACAAACGGCTCAAGGCTGTATTCCTAGGGTCAGAGAAAAGACCCTCCCACGGAAAAAATATAAATAATCCGTATCAGGAAACTAATACATTCTTTCTCCCATTAACTTGTCTATACAAATTATAATGGGTAAGCAGTGGGAGTAACTATAAAATTTTATAGGCAAAACATCCAAATAATTATAATAACATTTGAACAGTAATTTTTGAAGCATTTGAGGTTTAAAGTTTTATGTGTGAAAAAGACCATGATATTCAACATTTAAATCAAATCTCAATCTATTTTTGTGGGAATTAGATTTTACATAATTTACGGGTTTTTATAGAAAAATCGCCATTAAAAAAAGAAAAAAGCCAGGAGATACCATACATTATTACCCATATACCAAATTTCATCATAATCGGACGATAAGTGGAGTCTTTAGCCCTGTGAACACCCACCAACAAAAAATCATTTTGAAAATTACTTTTTTACTTGTGCGGGACCCAAAATAGATATATCCACCTAAAACTAAAATACGAAACAATACTTTTACAATTTTATACTGTATAGAGTGAGAAAGTAAAAACATAACAACATTCTATGTGGCCGGATTTCTTTTTCAAAAGGTTTTACAAAACACTTTTTCGTGTTTGAAATATTCTTGACAAATTTTACCAAATGGAAACGTACAAAATTAGCTGTCCTAAACCTTACATATATATTTTTGAACTTAATCTCTTTCCAAAGTATCTATGTGAACATCTAAGTAGCTAAACACGATTTTATCAATTGTATGTCTTTTACAAGAAAAAAATACCTTAATATTTCCATTACTTGTTTGAAACATGGGTTATTGCTACTAAAAAGAAATAACTCAGTTGTGCAAATGCGTAAAAACTCAGGAAATGTGGACTTGACCGGAAGATAGGAAAATGATGGACTAAATATAGAAATGATCAAAAATAGAAAACTAAGAGATAACCAAATGACTATCACGCGCCTAGCGGAAGCAAGCCTTGACTTAAAAACTGCCAAGACCATGTGTTACGTTGTATTACACATTCAGTGGTTTTAAAGATTCCAGCTCTATGCTAATTCACTGCATCATGTCATCAGTCAAGTTGTTTATATTTTCGGTAAAATATTTTTGGTAGGCTGGGTCTTGGAATTCAACAAGTAAAAATTAACCCATACTCTACTCAAAACCCTAAAAAATGTATTACGGTTCTTAATTGAACATTACCAGTTGAACATGGGGATACGGTGTATTTTTACAAACAAATATACTGTAATACTTTCTTTCTTATGAAATGGTGACCAGGATGTAGGAATTTAAAGCCAAGTATGAATGGAGATTGTGTGGGATGAGTGGCGCGATCTTGTAGTCTTGTTAGTGACTAAGGCCGACATGTTCCTTAGACACAGCTAATATTCCATTATTAATAATCCATACAGCCAATGGCAACTAAGGGACCTACAGTTTATAGTGGAATCCGAACCACATTTTTGCCTTATAACTAACGAATTGGTATAATTATCAGGATAGTACTGCGGATAGTCGTAGTACTCACTGGTGTGGACATTAATCCACACCAGGGAGTATCGCATCAACAGTGCATGCCTGTAAATATCCACAATTTGTAGCCTCCTAGTATTTGGATTACAGGACGACGCCACCGTTCAATTGATCTTGCAGCCTACGTTCAACCTAATTAAATGTGTTCAACAACACGAGTACCGTTGTTGTTACCAACAGCATGGTCCAGCTTAGTCATTCTGTAGGTAATTAATTGTTTCGCTGTTTAGAACCTCACTATTGCATAAACATTATGCAATCAGCCATGCAGCCCGAGTATCTAAAGTCTACAATCCAAATTCTCACAGTTGCGGAAACTCGGCGTTAAATACCAGACGATATTAACAAAACAGTTGATAATTTACAAAATAGTAAATAACTGCCCGACGATAACAATATAAGTGAGTTGTAGAAAGAGGCGAGATAAAATGTTGAACTTTCTCCAATACACATAACACTACAACGCATTTTATTGCCATAATTGGTTATCTTAATTACTAAGCTGAGATCACCATGGCGTGCAGTCCAATAATTTGCTTGGTAATCGTTTAGGCTACAAGTTCATGTTGCAAAATCTGTCTTTTGTAAAATACAACGTGTCAATACATGTGAATGTGCATGGCATCCGGTTGAGATTGCTTTAGAAATCGACGAAAATGTTCCCTAGGTAGCAGAGTGGTTATAGCTCTCACTCTCAATCTGAAGGTTGGCGGTTCGATCCTGTATTCTGACACCACTGGCCATTGGGTAATGAATTAGTAACAAGGCTACAGTGTGGACCGTCCCTTTACAAGAAATCGTTTCAAAAAGTCAATGACAGAATATCGCACAGAAAAAGCCAGAGCAAAAGGCCAGAGCAATGCTATATTATTGTTACGAATGTTTTTTTTTCTCCATCTTGTTTTGTTGCATGAATGTAAAAATGGAGTTTGTCCGTTGATATGTAAAATAAAATAAAATAAAATAGAAAAAAATTGATTTAGTGGCCTTGTACTAAAGTCTAAATTATTGATGAGCGGAAACTGTTTGCAGGTATGTATGAAAAAAATATATTTTACTTATTTATATACTTTAAAAATTATAATATATATACAGGGTGTTTTTTTAAAAACTTGCATCTTTATTTATGTAAAAACCACAATAGATAGAAATATGCAGTTTGCGGGAATCATCTATTGACGTAGGGGGCCCAATCTTTTTGAATTCAACGTTACATTCACATTCCCCCCCTTTCCCCCCTGCCACCAAATTATTATTTTTAAATAGCAAGCTACACCTTGAGACATATCAAATGAAAGAACATGAAAACAGAAAATGTTTGATGAAAAAAAATAAAAAATCGGTTCATAAATTTGTGAGATATCCCCCCCCATCTCCCCGGGACTTAATTTTTTTTTAATATCAAGGTACCCCTTGTGACATATCAAATGAAAGAGCATGAAAAAAGAAAATGTTTGGTGAAATTTATTTTTCATTTGATATGTCACAAGGGGCACCTTGCTATTAAAATAAAATTAAGTTCCTAGGAGGGGAAAAGGGGGGATTGTATCACAAATTCATGAGCCGATTTTAAATTTTTTTTCATCAAACATTTTTTTTTAATGCTCTTTCATTTGATATGTCACAAGGGGTACCTTGCTTTAACAAAAAATTAAGTTGGGGGCAGGGGGGGAAAGGGGGGAATGTGAATGTAACGTTGAATTAAAAAAGATTGGGCCTCCTACGTCAATAGATGATTCCCGCAAACTGCATATTTCTATCTATTGCGGTTTTTACAAAAATAAAGATGCAAGTTAAAAAAAAAAACACCCTGTATAGCTCAACAGCTTACATGTTTAGTTGCGAAGACAACATTTTCAAAGCTTGCAGCTTGTCAAAAATACATTTAAAATATGGACACGAACACAGAAAATATTAATACGGTACGAATACACGATAGTCTGCTATCAACCCCGCGCCGCGCCAGACCAAATCAGTATTATGATAGCGCTAACTAAAAGTCTATCGTGTATTCGTACCATATTAATGTTTTCTGTGGTTGTGTCCGTGTTTTAAATGTGTTTTTGACGAGTTGCAAGCTTTGAAAATGTTGTCTTCGCAACGAAACATGTAAGCTGTTGAGCTATATCATTTATTGGACTATTTGACTGAGGTATGTAAAAAACCTATTATTGTCTTATAGTTATAGTTTAAGATTAAGACGCATTCATGTACACATTGTTGTATGTCTGAATAAAGATTTATTTGACTTTGACTTGACTTTTATATATTACTAGGTAATAAATCATTATTAGAACGGGTGGTGTTTTTGGCCTCTAGGAACATCAAAACGAAAAAGTAAATCGGTCCTGGGTCCAGTTCTTACCATGAGACCTACGGCAATATTCCCTAAAGCTAAAAACATTTCTAGACTATGAAATAATATGATTATCTAAAGCGAAAAGTTAGTGTGATTATTCGCAATGTCTTCATTGTGACTTCAATATAGACTTGACACTAATGTTTTTCTTTAAGAATTATCAAATGCAAATGTTCGTCTATTGTCCATTGTCTGTCTAAAGGAGTAAACTAAAGACATTGTCTTCCACATTTCAAATGCATACAAACAAACAAGACAATCAATTAAGAATGCATGTATGTTTCTTTTCATACTCTGAAACATGTGAGGTGAAAACTCTTCAAACCACATGTGCAAATAGAACAGGTATATAAGACTTAAGTCTTTGGATCAAAAATATGAGACAATTCAATATGTACCGTATCATAGTAGTGAGCATTGTGGCAGCAGCAGTCTTAAGTGGTATGTCAATGTGTAGTTTTGAATTTACTTCAATTTTTCTAAACTCGTTAGCCTAATCATTATTAATAATTTAAAATTCAAACTATTTCCTATTAAGAGTTTTAAAGATAAAAAAAAAAAAAAAAACTAGAGAGAATTAAGAGGCACACACATTTTAAACCACTAAAGTGTAATATTTTTCAGTATGATAAATTGGATTACATATCTATTAAGGCATGCATTTTGTAATAGGCCTATTATTAGTTTTTATCCGTAAATGTCTTCGTCTCGTCTATGTACGTATTCTTATTAGTATACGATGACAAGGATTTTTTCATCCAACTGCAATGTTTTGACAATGACGATACAAGCGGAAACATCTAAACAACCTATGCGTCATATTTGAGCTTTTTTTATTATAAAAAACGTAAGCCTATTTATCACATTAAGAAAAACAGCTCAGAAGCTAAAATGGAAATTGATTGTAATATTTCTGTCAAAAATACTTTAGTAAGTTTAAGGTAGACATAAACTCAAACACACAACTCATTTACAATTAGGAATTTCCTGAATGCAAAAGTGTTTTGCTACTGAAATGTTAGTTTGTAGTAAACAAAAAAGTTAAGGTTTTTAGTTTTAGGTATTAATTTAAAGTGGGCTGAAAGTGAAAATATTAAAATGATTTTAGCTGTGAGAGCACTTAACTGTGGACCAGGCTACTGTGATCTGTCCAGTCACATCTGTACCTCTGGTCACTGCATACCAATCGGAAAATGACCAAGACTGTGGACACTTGGATTGGGTGAAAAAGACATTTGAAAAATAAAGATCTTATGCTTATCGAGTCTTTACATCTAACATACCTATCTACAAATATTCTATTCCTCTTTTCACATTGTTAATTTTTACTTTATGAATTATTTCCAAAATCTGGTTTAAACTAGAAAACTTTACGATGGTTCAAAGCACCTGGCCGTCATTTATGGTATTTTATTCATATTTATAAGGTAGTTCATAGATTTGTATTAATGGTCTTAGCTTAATTATTAGATTACTTCAATTAGCTAAAGGTCTGTATTGGTACATAATTAAATCCTATACTCTAATACGAGCAATGTTTGCTTGTATGTATGTATGCTTGCTTGCAAACAAGATCTTGAAAACGGCTCCGACGATTTTCTTCAAATGTTGTAAATAGTTTATTTCTGGCCTAAAAACGAGTTTACTGCAGTTAGAACTGCCAACGAAAATCTAATTACGTAGAAAAATGAAACTGAAAATCACATTTTTTTACATTAGTCTTATGGGTTGCTAAGTAACCATATTGGCTGAATTAAATAACAAGGAAAAAGTAAACAAAATACTTGAAGTTGTAGCATGTGTTCATAATAAGCCAACTACCCACAGTATACAAGCAAATTACAAATACAGTACAAAAGGAAAAACATCACTTGTTAATATTTAGCAAAGATTATACTGAAGATTACTCGATACATTGTAGTCAAGGGTAGCAGTGCGAAGTCTGGAATCTGTTTATGACGATTAGATTAAGGTATCTGCAATCCTAAAATGCTATGGGAAGGGAAGGAAACAGGTCCGCGACGTAGGAAATGGTGAAGGAAGTAGTAAAGGTAATCATAAAATAATATGGGAATAGAGGGAAACAGGTCCGTGACGTAGGTAGTGATGAAGGAAGTAGACTAGTAAAGGCAAGCAGTCCGGAGTGTGGGAACTGTTTATTTTGATTACATTAAGGTATCTGCAATCCTAAAATGCTATGGGAAGGAAGGAAAAGAGGTCCGCGACGTAGGAAGTGGTGAAGGAAGTAGTCAAGGTGAGCTGTCCGGAATGTGGGAACTGTTTATGACGATTAGATAAGGGTATGGGCAATCCTAAAATGCTATGGGAAGGGAGGGAAACAGGTCAGTGACAACATAGGAAGTGGCGAAGGAAGTAGTTAAGGCGAGCTGTCTGGAGCGTGGGAACTGTTTATGATGATTAGATTAAGATATTTGCAATCCTAAAATGCTATGGAAAGGGAGGAAAAGAGGTCCGCGACGTAGGAAGTGGTGAAGGAAGTAGTCAAGGCGAGCTGTCCAGAGTGTGGGAACTGTCTATGACGATTAGATTAAGGTATTTGCAATCCTAAAATGCCATGGGAAGGGAGGGAAACAGGTCAGTGACATAGGAAGTGGTGAAGGAAGTAGTTAAGGCGAGCTGTCTGGAGCATGGGAACTGTTTATGGTGATTGGATTAAGGTATTTGCAATCCTAAAATGCTATGGAAAGGGAGGAAAAGAGGTCCGCGACGTAGGAAGTGGTGAAGGAAGTAGTCAAGGCGAGTAGCCCGGAGTGTGGGAACTGTTTATGACGATTAGATTAAGGTATCTGCAATCTTTAAATGTAATGGGAAGGGATGGAAACAGGTTTGCGACGTGGGAAGTGGTGAAGGAAGTAGTAAAGGCAAGTAGTATGGAGCGTGGGAACTGTTTATGACGATTAGATTAAGGTGTCTGCAATTCTGAAATGCTATGGAAAGGGAGGAAAACAGGTCCGCTACGTTGGAAGTGGTGAAGGAAGTAGTCAAGGCGAGCTGTCCGGAGTGTGGGATCTGTTAATAACGATTAGATTAAGGTATATACAATCAGAGGTGCCCATCCCCCCTAAACCCAGAGGCGCAATCCCCCCCCCCCCAAGCCAAAGGAGTAGTCCCCCCAATTTATGTTGTCGTCTATTTAAACCTACCCTCCCCCCACCAATTTATCTGACAATTTTCCTTTACCTCATAAAACGAGTATTTAAAGTATTTAGTAAACTTGAGGTACGTACAAAAAACAAACTTGCTGATTAAGAATCAAAATTAAATGTTTAATAGGAAACGTCATTTAACAATACATATCTAAGTAATGGTTGAATTAGAAGTTTTTCAATTTACAAAATTCCGAATTAGTATTGTCAGCCAACATGTGCTCAGTATTGCTATAGACAACGTCTTCAACACGTTCAACAATAGGCCTATACTCGGTGAATTACTCTACTCCAACACAGTACTGTAACTGTACAATATATTAGGTGGATTTAATGTTTAGAGGGTATTAAGAATTCAAACAGCTTTAAGTGTATTAATAATACTTTGGCAAAAAGTATCTTAATTGTTTCAAAATTATAGGCAGAGTTACGAAATAAGTCAGACTTGTTGCTCGCCACTTCCAGGCTGCCTTCTACAAAAATCGCCGGGCAAAATACCATGTTACCAGAACAAAAGGTTTTTGTGACGAAGTAATCTTATAATTCATTTTGATAGCCCCAGGATTGCCTTTTATGACTAAAATGGTAGGAACGTATTTTGTCAGACAATCCGTTTGTACACAAAACACGAAACGATAACAGATAGGACTATCAATCCACGCGTGTATATTGCCGCGGGAAGGACTGGAAGTAAACTGAATCAGGTTATGACGGAAAGACGTGGTCTCTGGATTGTCGTCTGCGTTATCAAAAGCTGATATTGGACTAACTGTAGTGACGGAGTATGTTGAAAATATAACGGGATTCATAATTGAGTTTTCCATTCAAAACTATTGACAATAATAACCAATTTACATGCTGGATATAAATGATGGTCTCGAAATTCTATAGTACTGCACGAAAGGAAATTTTTAAATACTTTGAGGAGTTTGAAATATATGAATACATAAAATTGGGGACAGCACAACATTTTTGAGTGAAAACACTCAATTCATTATGAAAGCCATTATATTTTCAATACTCTTCTCAGTCACTATAACAATAGTCCAATATCAGCTGTTGAAAACGCAGACGACAATTCAGAGACCACGTCGGTCCGTCATAACCTGAACCCGATTGAGTTTACTTCCAGTCTTGCCGACGGCAATGTACGCGCGTGAATTGATAAGCCTATCTGTAATCGTTTCGTGTTTTGTGTTAAATGTTTGTAACGTATACTGACGACACCTCCAGAAGGGGATCTTTTGTAAATCCTGACTATGGTGGAGTTAAAGAACCAACAAAACATATGTAGCATGTAAAATTCTACACTGGTATGTTAAGGGTTGTCTGACAAGGTGCTTTACCATTCTTAGAAGCAATCTTAATTACGAACGGCAAAATGTTGGTGTTGATAGTGAGCTACTTTTAGTGAGAAACACTTTTTCGGACTGATTGTACAAAATTATACAGCCATTATGACAGCTAGCAAAAATTAAATATCCCCCCCAAAATCCCTTAAAAATAGTCCCCCCCAAAAATTCCTGTGGCGCAAACGCGCCACAGTACCCCCTCTGGGCACCCCTGTATACAATCCTAAAGTGCTATGGGAATGCAGGGAAACAGGTCCATGACGTAGTAAAAGGAAAGGCGAGCCATGTGGAGCTTGGGTTATGAATGGATTTATGTATCTCCAATACTAAGACTGCTTTCGGAGTGAACTAATGATTTTCCCCGAGCAAAGCTCGGTCCCCAGGTACTAACAAATTTTAAAACGAGCATTTCTATAAAATAAATACGATCAGTTTTTCTAATTATATAAAACAACAACATAAATGAAGATTATACAGGGTGAGTTTTAAATGAGTTCCCCCCTACTTTTTTCTACATTTCTTTCTACATTTCATGGACAGCGTGGAAACGTGTGCAACAGTTAAGTAGCAAAGTATTTGTAAGGCTATGGAACTAATTCATATTTATAATAGAGATATTCATAATTCATATTAGAGTCATGTTCTTGTTTTACTGCACTCCAATACCAAAGAAGAGGAGGCCGAGACTTTGATTAGACCAAACCATACTTGACTCTGACTAAAAATCCTTGACCCTTAGACCTCCCCACCCTCCAAATGTCTTTATTTGATTGAACTGGCTTTGGTTGTCGTCTCCGACATTCTCAACCGCATTTCAGTTTTCCTTTAAATAATTAAGAAAAAAAATCTCCCATATTCAGTTTTTGCCCTTAAAATTTCGCAGACTGATAACAACCAGGCCTATGCACAAGCACCTACCCATGTAGGCCTATCCCATAAGTATGGCAGATTCATTTAACAATTATAGTTGTACTACTGTTGTTATCCTTGCTCTCTGTTTTTATTTATCTGTATCTTTCTGTAATAATATTGGGATAAATAAACGTATTTCATTTCATTTTTGTATTATCACCATAAAGGTTTCTACCGAATTTAATGAAGACTAGAAAGTAACCTCTGAGAATTTAATTTCTAATGTAGAGGTGTATAGTCAATGGTCTAACCCATAATCAATGTAACTTTGAATCAAATTACATCGAACTAGATATACTTATTCTAATCTCTACATTAATTTTGCTTACATAAAAAGGGAGCGAATAGTAGATATGGAGGAGCAAGTTACGCAACCTTACCTTACCTTAATGTAAGCATCTATTACCTTAATGTATTCTTTAATATATGTTAAATCAATTATATACTTGTACCGATAATGGGTTGAGAAGAGAAGCGGCAAAGTCGACCGTCTAAGCCTCGAGTCGCCAAGTTGTATAAGTGGTTTTGTTACCAACTTTGATGAACACCAAACTGTGAGACGTCTTACAGGCGTCGGTCAGTTGACTGGTATTGATTTTGGATAGTGCAAAATACAATTATTAACAAGATCTTTACTAAACTCAATTCAATCATTTCATAATGTAAACATTGAACCAAACAAAAGCATTGAATTAAACAAACATAACAACAATTAATTCTGAACATCTGTGAATCCTAATAACATACCTATTATGTAACAGATAATGACGCCAAAGAATAATTGTATGGGTTCGAGTTGACTGAATTACGAATACCAATTATTGTTGTT